TTTATTATAAATTCATTGTGACTGTATGGTGCTACCACTAAATAGTGTAGTTTGTTGAAAAGACGCGTAGCGAGTGGCTTACGAGCATGCGCGTTCCCAGAAACCAGTCAGGCAGGTACACGCGACAACCACAAATCACGTATCAGTGTGCGCGACATGTTCTTTATTAAGACAACGATATTTCCATAGACCCCCAGACATCTCAGCGATTTAAAACCAAACAACCACAACCATGTAGAGTAGAGAATAAAGAACAAATGTAAATAAGACTAAGTGTGCGTATTTCTCGCTGAAACAGTTTTAAATCGACAACACTCAACGGCAGACAACGTAGCCGGACGGTTACATATATATATATATGTTTATGTATAGTATATAGTATGCGTGGTGATGTAATACCTTCTGGAGATATTCGCTCGGGCACCGAAATAGTAAACACTATACACTAACGCGGAAGTTGGGTGAAATCAAAACCAAAAACAGCCCTGACAAGTGTTGTTTGTTGTTGTTTGTTGTTGTTTGTTGTGGTTGTTGTTGTTGTTGTTAATGTGGTGTTGTCCAGTTATGCGTATTTTGTCTACTCCCATAGTCCCGTTTCTGGACAGAGCAGCAAGTAAATACACAGTGACATGCCCGAACGTAATCTCAGTCGCCAAACAAGCCAGCCGGAACTAAAGGTCAGTGAAGTAGAAACACCGAACACTGAAAATTGTGATTTTAATCACACCAGTGCGAAGCGATAACAGTAAGAAGACGGTAAGAAAAAAATTCAAACCATCCATGTGATCTATCTGACTTATCGGGAAAAAAGATAGCGTCACGACTAATGGTCTATACAACAAACTATCCACATCGCTAAACATGCACTAAACATGACACAACGTATGACGCAGTTGATACGCGCAAAACGCAAGATCTTATAGAAAAAAAACGTTCACTCCAGGCTCTGAGAACAATAATCTCTTTATCCTTTGTGTTCAGTCTCGTAAACGTCGCGTTGCATTGGTTTCCCCGGAAAGGACACACAATTACTAATCGTTATCTTGTCTTTTGGCGGCTAACTGTGTGCGTGTGCGTGTGCGTGTGTCCGTTTCGGAAATCACTTTTTCTCGAGAACACCCTTTATTATTACGGTAGATCGAACCAAGAATGTTAGATCATACGGACAGGTGGCTTTACCGGATATTTAAAGGGATACTTTCCTCTAGAATATGAGTCTATTATAATAGTAGATTTATAAATAATAGCACATACCTACAACTATATATAATAACGCATTCACGTTTGTCATAAAACAACATTAAATTTCGAAATCTTTATTTTTGGGCGCTGGCATGACACCCACGATCGTGCTGCCACCTTGAAAAAGTTGCACATTTGACAATTCATTTTGCACGTTACAGACCGAGGGCTAATCACAAAAGTGCAATTATATTTATACCTAAATGCTACTTAACCAAACGATGTTCATTTTAGGACATATTTATTCACATTATAACTGAAACTATATGTCGTTTATAAGATATTGCAATCCTTCTGCTCTTAAATTAATAAATAAGAAACACCCTCGGTCTGTAGCCTGCAGCCGAAGCGTTGCTTCGCGCAACTTATTCAGTGGGTGCACCGTCGTTGTAAGCAACGATATAGCCGTCAGTATTAAAACATTTTTTTAAAATATTTTTAATAAATATTGAACCATAAAACTTTTTACGAAGCGTAATTTTAACCTATCTTAGCTGAAAATATCTGAAGAACCTAGAAAAATGTATCTTTAAAAAAAATACCAAAGCTTCGAAATGACAAGGTTACCGAGTCAGACACGAGTCGGGCATAGTTAGCCGCCAATAGCTAAGATAAAAATTAGTAATTGTGGCTTTTCCGGGGAAACCAGTGCAAAACGACGTCTGAACGAGACTGAACACAAAGGATAAGAAATAGAGAAATGTTCTCAGAGGTCTCTAGAGCCTCGCGAGTAAAAGCCTTTCTAATAAGATCTTTTAAGCGAAAGAGACATAGCGAATTCCAGAATATATGATCAGGATCAGGTTCAGATTACTTTACTCGTGTATTCGCAGCCGCCGGGCAGGTTTTACGTTACATAAATCAATATTTCTGTCCGGCGGTGTACCTGCCCTGATCTCGAACATTCCACGACAGATACGATCGATACGTAGTCGTCTGCGTTTAGTATCCCATTGACGACGATGCCGACTATTTCCATTGATTTCCATCTTTTAGTTGATTTCTATCGCTATTAGTGATTTCCTGATGTGAATGACATGGGCGTGGACGATCAACGTGGTGTACATGCATTGCCGCCATTTTGTTCTGTTACATGAAATCTTTTAGTCGTTTTCATTGGTTTTTCTGATCGGCAGAGAGTTGGTTGAGGGCAAGTCTCCATGATTAATTCCGTCGTTTTGTAAACTCCTATACTTTTATCTACCTGCGCTCAGATGCTGTGACTGTGTGGCGACAATCCCTCAGTCTCAACGTTTCTTTTCACTCGCATCTATCACAGGCGTCTGGCATGATAGTTGTTTTAGAACACCTGATTTCATTAGGAAGAGTTACTAATAATAATAATAATGCCGGCAAAGCAATATGGCGGAGCGGAGCCTACCGACTCGTTCTAGAATGTTCTCGTATAGGTTTAACGAAAAACAATCGGTTTCGCGTTATCACATGTCTTGACTGACTTTTTTTTAAATGTGTAGAAGCTTTAGAGTTTAAACGATTATCGTTGTCTTCGGATAAAGTTAGTAGGTGTCAGGATCAATAACACCGAACCGACTCCTAGAGAAACATTTGCTTATCCCGCCGACAGATGTTGCAGACACTGCCCGGAGAATCTGCGTCAGTTGAAGATATGCTGACGCCATTGACTTGTCACGGAAAGGTTACGGCTCCTCAAATCCTAATAAATATAAGGATCCTAAATCCTAAATCCTAAAT